GGTGCCATCATCTCAGAAATGGAAGAAAAGCAGCATACACAGGGAGTCAGTCTTGCAAGGCAGTGGTTAGCTCTCATCCCCCCCTGCTCTCATTGGGAGGTCAGGATTTTGAAGAATTTTCTTCCTTACATTGTAAACATGAGAAGTGCAGTGCTTCTAACAGCAAAATTTGCAGACCTGAGGAGTAATAGCATAGTAAATGGCTGTGTTTCCATTTAGTTCAACAGGGCCAGGAAACCAATCCCATCTTGAAGAGTAATTATTTTACTAACCACGGACTTTGCATTCAGCATCATTAATCAAAGCAAAGGGAACTTCATTGTTCAACAACTTGCCTTAAAGGTACTGAATCATAAGATTTAAAAATACTTAGTGGTATTATCTCTCGAGCACAGCACACCAATCTTTGTCCTTACCTACTGGAAGACACTAAGCTACAGATCACACATTACAATACTGAATGTACGTAGCTCACAGACCAGAGGAGTGACCAGAGAGCCTCAGAGGCTCAAATGTAATTCAGGACTGCTGACTGCTGACAGGAATTTAACAAAAGGTAAAGGAGAAATTACTCATGTAGCTCAGTTTTAGTGCACCTCAGTTGAACAGTAAAATCGAGTGGCTAAAGCTGAAAAGCATAAACATTCCCTATTTTCTTCTCCATTGTTGTCCTTGAAGGTCTGGCTCTGCCTGGAAAAGGTGGGGCAAGACTGCAAGTTGTGAGTTGTATAGTGTCGGGGTCTGTGGGATAATGATAGCCGCTGGGGAGAATGCAGGCAGTGCTGAGCCATCAGGCATGTACCTGTAACTAGCAACTCTGATTTATGGCTTCTAGTGCTAGCTCTTCTAAAGCAATTTAACAGTTCCTGGGAATACTGAATCTTCTAGAAGGTAGCACAGTCTGAACTAAATCAAGTCCCATAAGTGTCCTGTGAAAACAGCAGCTATTGTATTGACCGAAATTATCATTAACTGTCAGAAAACAGATTTGGGAGAAACATGGCAGCCCAGAACAGGCAAAATTCCCATCAAGATCAATCAGTCAGAATAAAAATTGTAGCCTCTGACTCCATGGTGAATCAAATGGGCTTTCAGGAGTAGCAGAGCCTTACACTCAACTGCTGATACAGGAAAGGTCAAAGCCAGGGTACAGCTGTTTCAAGGAGTGTTCACCTCAAAATTCCCAGCACCTTTTAGTTATCACTTATTCTGTCTGCATCTTTTGGGTTGGGCTGGCTAACCGGCAGCATCAGAAGGAAAAGATGAGCCTGGATTTGGCAGAGTAGTAGGGAGTATCCCTCAGGACAGAAAGGATTGGGCTTAGAACTTTAGGTCTATGAAAAGCATGGAAGAGCTCAGATTCTAACCTGAGTAGAAGTCCACTGCCTGTGCCTATCTTCATTCCTTTTGTATCTAATCAGTTTGGCACCTTAACGCTTACTTTAAATAAGGACAGCAGAGCTTCACTTCCCAATATGAAGGCTCCAGGGAGACCTTACTACAGCCTTTCAGTACTTAAAAGGTTCTTACAAGAAAGATGGAGAGAAACTTTTTACAAGGCCATTTATTGATATGACAAGGGGGAATGGCTTTAGACTAAAAGAAGAGAGACTTAGAGTGGGCATTCTGAGGAAGGTGAGGCACTGGCACTGCTGCCTGGAAAGCTGTGCCCCATCCCTGGGGTGCTTAGGGCAGGGTTGGATGGGGCCCTGGGCAGCTGAGCTGCTGAGCTGAGCTCCCTTTCAACTCAAGCCCTTCTTTGATTCTAATGTGTCACCTATGCTGCGAGAGATGTCTTCTCTTAACACCATTTTGTAGGTTTTTGTTTAGTTGTTTTCTTTTTCAGTGAACAAAGGCTAGTAATACAAGTTGCTACCCATATGGCCATAAGGTTTGTTATGGGGGGCATAACAGGGGGGCAGCCTCTCTGCTCAGGAACACTCTAGGACTGCTTCTTCCAAGTGCCCATAAGCCAGAGTTTGAGCCTTAAAAGCACCAAGCCACCTGTTTTAGAAAGTCTCTGTGCAAGCACTCATGATTCTGTCATGTTTGCTGCACATGTAGAAAAATCAAATTTGCTTATATCAACTTGCAAGACTGCACCACATTCGTGGCTTAGTTAATCAGTGTAGAGCAGAACTAAGGATTTTGCCTAAACAGGAGAAAAATTGAGTGAGAATTAAATTGGGAGACAGTGCTCAGTATGGTGTTACCACAGATCTGTAGCACTGAAGGTACAGTTAGAGAAGTACCTTTAGGTGGAGCTGACACCCATAGAAATTGTGCCAATGTGTAAAACGCTGCTTTCATGAAGCAGGCAAAGCTAATTGCTCTTTCCATGGCTTTTTAAGAAGTCAGATGCTAGTTAAAATCCGTGAATATGTATACATTCCTTTGTATGGATAATTAGCTACTTTATGTGTGGCGCCTCCTGGATTAAAGAAAATTCTTGTATGCAAATAAGTAATAGAACAAAGTGGTCAAATTTGAACATGGAAAAAAATATCTCCGTTATATAAATATCTATTATTTATTTAAGCAAGTTTCTCATTTCTTAGACAAGTGCTATTTCCAAGACAGCTCCCATGTGTTTAAGATGTTCCCTCCTAATTGTTCTTCTCAACAATGCCTGTATACAAACACTGAAGATGAACAATAGATTTTGACTATTTGCTTAAAGAAACGAGATAAAAACACGCTTTAGAAATGGCTTTTTCTACTAAATGCTCCATTCTCATCCTATTGAAATTGATGGCAAATCTGCACTGATTCAGCAGGGGCCACGTTTTCACTCCAAACTCAGTAACGAATAGATTTGATGCAAGTTACTCTGAAGATACTGCTTTAAACAATTTCTTCTGTTCCATGGAGTAACAGATTGGGTTGATATTTAAGAATGAAAGCTCATCAAGTTTAAATTCCAGTTGTTTTATAATAATAGCCATATGTTAGTTAAAGATTATGTAAGTCTGAAGTTTTGGTAATTTAAAACTGCTTTAAAGTGACCTTTACATAGTTCCACATTTCAGCATTTTCTAGAAGTGGTTGGTATCAGTCCTTATTCATAAATCCTTACATTAAAGGAATTTGCAGGCCTGGGCCCTTCGTTAGCAGGCTTACAGTACGGAAGTCCTGCAAACATTTATATGCACGCTTAATCTTACGCATCGAGTCTTCACATTGAAATTGACGTAACTGCTCTCAGTGGGCAAAATCAGGCAGGATGAAATATTAGTTTTTAAGAAAGGTCACTCTGGTTTTAATTATTGAGGACGGGATGCTAAGCGAGAGAGACCTCCAGCCTGGCCCAATGCAGTTGTTCTTATGTTCTTCTTTATCTACAGGAAGGCATTTGATTTGAGAAATATTTTTTTTCCCACTGGATAGGCTGAGAGGGCACATGTGGTGGCACTGTGAAGGCTGTATGCAGCCCAGCTTCATGCATTACCACTGCTTGCTGGTGCCATCCAATGACATTAAATTGCTGTACGTGCAGCATATTTTCCATGTCTAACAAAATATCAGCCACCTAGCAGCTGGCTGTAGAGATTCACTCTGAAACTTCCCATGAAATACCTCTGCCCCTTCAAAAGCTTCGTCTTCATGTGGCCCTTAGCCCTGCAAATGCGTTGCTACAGGCATGCAAGTAATCCCATTTACACGTGTAAGGAACTGGGTTGGCACTGGTAACGCACTAAGCAGATACACTTGTTTAGGTAACAAAGTATTCCTGTCATTTATTTATTTTTCTTTCTTTTCCAAAACCCAGCTTTGAAAAAGAGGTTCAAGCGTTACGTAAATATGAGGTAATGACCTCGAGCTCTAATTCTCTTTATCGTCACCTAAAACAAAACGTTTGGTACTCTTAGGAAGCGCATAAAAACCATCAGGCCGGCTACAAAAACGTGGGGCCTGATCCTCTCATCGTTCGAAACGTCTTCCGTTAATTCGCGTGTCAGAAAAAAACGCCCTGTGGAAGGAAGCCAATCCCTGCTCCGAACGCGTCGCTGCACTGCGCGGGACCGACACAAAACCGGCAGCCTATAGCCGCAGACCGAACCGATTTGTTGTTTGCAATTAACGATAGGCGAAAGAAAAGCAATATAATAATTAGAGCCAGTCTCTTCACTTTCGGGGAAAAAGTACAGCAGTGGGAAAAAATACCGCGCAGTGCAGTCGTGCCTCCGTGCTACTTATTGTTTTCCGCGTGCAAGGACGGAGGCGAGTGGCGGAAGGGCCGCGTGGAGCCGGGAGGTGCGCGCCGCTCCCGCTGGCCGGGCCGCCCCGAGGCGCTGCCTGCCGTGAGCCGGAGGACCTCAGCGAGGGAAGCCCCGTTGTTTGCATTTCTGTCGCGAACGCCGAGAACACTCGATTTCTTTTATCTCTCGAGCTTTCATTATCATTTAAATTTCATTTTCCATTAATTGATCAGGGATTAGCGAAGCCATTAGGCGAGAACGAGACGAGCCAGACGCGATGAATAATTCATGACGGACGATTGCATTTTATTCCCGCCGTACTTTCCAACTTCCCTCCGGCTCGCGGGCAGCCGGACTCCGCACGGCGCCGCGGCCCCACGCCGCCGCCACCGCCGCTAGGTGGCAGCATTCGCCCACGGAGCGTGGATGGCCGCGGCGCCCGGCGGTCTCCCGATGCTTATCGCCGCTGCCGAGAGCGCGGTCGGCACGGGATGTTGCTGCTGCCGGCTGCTGCTGCCGGCTGCTGCTGCCGCCTCCCGCCGCCCTCGTTCGCCCACCCCCCGGGTAGCGCGGCCCGCAGCGGGCGCTTCCCCCCTGACCGGCGGCCCGCGCCGGGCATCTCATTTATCCCAGCGGACAGTGGTTGCCCCATTAAAGCGCGGTCCCGCCCTTCGCAAGGAGCTTTAATCTGGGGAAGTTTTATGACACTTTGTAAATGTGCAAAGTTTTTAATTAGACTCGCCAGACAGCCCGGGGCGGCACTAGCGCCACGAAGTCTTCATGCTTCTCTCTGCTTTACAGCACAACAAGCCGCTCTACTCCTTTGAAGACAATGCCGACTATGTCTACGATGTCATGTGGTCGCCAGTGCATCCCGCGCTCTTCGCCTGCGTGGACGGGATGGGGCGCCTGGATCTGTGGAACCTGAATAACGACACCGAGGTGAGGGCCGGGGGCGGCGGGGCGGGCTCTCACCCGCGCGGGGCGACGGCGCCGCTGAGCAGCCGCGGGCACCGCGGGCCCCGGGGCGACCGGCAGGACCGGGCACGGCAGGGCGAGGCGGGGCCCCCGCCCCCCCAGCCGCGAGGCTGCCCCGCTACCTGCGGGCTGGGGGAGGGCCGGCGGCGGCGGGCGGCGCGCGGCTGGGGAGGGCTCTGCCCCGCGCGTCCCTTCCCCCAGCGCCGCCGGGACCGCGGCCGCGGAGCGCCCCGCCTCGCCCCCAACGCCCCGCGCAGCGCGGGGGAACGCCCGCGGCTTCCTGCCCTTCACCTGCTTTCTTGTGCAAAGTTTGCAACGTTTGCCGCGAAACCGAAGCGCGCAGACGCAAACGAAAACGCAGGTTTTCTTACTGTCGCTGCTGACTGCAGAGCGGGGGAGAGGATGTCACACCTTCACCTTTTCTCTGATGAGAAGGGGCTCGTCGCACGGCTGTTGGCAGAGGCGGAACGGCCGGTCCCGTACTGTTCTTTGCAAAGAGACTAGCAAGTCTCGTATTCTCACTAAGTCGTTTCCTAGCTGTGCTGAAAACCCATCCCCACGTCCTCTTGTTATTTCAGATCAAAAACAAACAAACAAAATGCTATAGGTGTGTATTGAGAATATTTGGTCTGGATCTCCCTGTTCCCTTAAGGGTTGTGAAAAGAGCCACTGTGACATATCACAGACACTTTAGATGACCATCAGTTGTATTCAGAACAAGAGGGGAAATATTTTTTCAGAGCTGGAGTCTTACGTACTTGTAATTTAATGGCATGTAAGAACTGAGGGACCTTACTTATTGTTCAACAGTTCTTTCATTTCCAAAAGAGAGGAGAAGCCTGGAATCAGCTGGCAGTGTTTCATGACACGTACCCCGTTTTCTGTATATTTCTTTCTCTCTTTGTGTGCTTTTAAGATTAGTTTGTTCATTAATCCATCTTTCATGTAAACATGATATACATTTCCACCAGAGCAAAGAACAGGCGGAGTTTATGGCTCCCAGTGACTGGCGCTCGCCATAAATAAGCACGGACAGGTAAGAGGAACCAGCACTGCTCCATCGAGGGGAGCAGCAAGGCCTTTTGAAGTGCTGGAGCAGGAAGCAGCACAGCCTCCTTAATTAGAGCGCATACAGCTGGAGGACATACAGGAGGAGTCTCCTCAGAATTTATTTTGGGAAGGGAGGGACGTATCCTTCAGGTGTTCTCATTAATGCAGGCTTAAACACAGAGCATAAAACCAAGTATTTTAAAAAGAAAAAAAAAACACCAAACCTTTCCCCCCAAATGCTCTGCTTGAAATCAACTGATGTTTTGCCATTTAATTCAACGAGACCATAATTTTTATTTTTTTTTTTTAAAGCACAGACCGCTTGATCCCATTCCCATCAATAATAAGGTTGTATGTAGAAAACTGCTGGTGTGTTTTCAGCGTGTTTACATATAAATATATAGAAACATCAGCAAAGAAATAAAAATTAACTTCAAGCTCTATCCTGCTTCTCTTCTGTTTGCAAGGCTACCCCTGAGTCCACAAACAATTTCTACTGTGAGGCTGAAATCAGCTTTCCTGTGAGGATCAGGCTGAAATTATTTCTCTGGATTCAGAGCTTTGTGTTTTTATGAGAACTGAATTTGTGCCTCTGGAGAAAGAGATGCCACTGGGTTTCCTCACTGAGCACTGGTGAAGCAAATTAAAGAATCTCTTGAAATGATAACAGTGGCAGAACGTGAATAGGTGTGAGGTTTTGTTCTGCAGAGGAACAGTGCCAGGCAACTGCAAGCGGTTCTTTAAACATCATAACTGAAAGTGATCACTGCTTGCATTTACCTCTATCTGGTAGGTCATCATAATTAGTTTATAATATTCAAGGTTTCTCTGATCAATGATGCAGTGTCTTTGTGCTCTGCTGTTGATGAGAAGAACCCTGTCAACACTTTTGTATCAGGAAACACCTATTTTTGAGCTTGTTCCTACTTTTAGATGCCAGACCTGTAATGTCAAAGCGTTTGTGAAGACGGTAGGAAATGAGAGCTATAATAATGTGTTTAGCTGCTAACCATCGATAAAAATCTCTTTGTAAGAATGAGATACGATTGTTATTAGTGGTACCTCATTTTGTTTAATTTGGGAAATACGCCACATTATTATTTAGGTGTTATTTTTTAAGTCAATTAAGGAAATACCTGGGTTTAGTTACGATATGTTACCTTCATGGTTTTGATCTGTAATGCAGCTTAACGCTAGTGTTGCTCCCCAGATTTATTAAGAACTTTTCTCCCACAAACTAGATGCATCTGATCAAAATAAATGTGACCGTGCTGCAAATCTAATCAATCCTGTTGTTCTCAGAATCGCAGTTTAGAATAGCCAGGGTATTCGTATGCTGCCTTTTTAATCTGCAGATACCAGAAATGATTTTTGGAGCAGCAATGCAAATCATCACATTTGATTTATATTTGACAAATTAATATAAAAGACTTTAAAAGAAAATAAAAAAAAAAAAGCTCTGCATCTTCGTTCTTTTGCAAACTGAATAATGCCACTTCAGGGATCGGAATGCAAGGTTTTCAGATAGCTTCAGATGGTAAATGTTGTTGTCATCCCTATATGTCCATACCATTTATTTTTTTTTTTTATCAAGGATGGAGAAGGTCTCTAGGCTGCTGATGAGTCTTGTTTGCCTATAAACTGGTATTAAATTGATCTATAGAATTGCTTAGTTCTCTGTTATATTACTTTCAAATGCATTCTTGCATGCCATACTTTGACAGTGTGAAGATGGTGTCTATTTCTAGAAGCAGATGGGAGATATATTTACAAGCAGGTTTTGATGTTATATAAGCAATATATTTTTTTTAAGTACATTCTTAGAATGCAGGTTCCTCTGACCACATCTTTCTTAATCTGCTACCTGTTAAATTCTTGCCTCAAAATTGTTAAAAATCTGACAAGGATCAGCTTCACAGAATTTATGAAGTATTTTAAATGTGACTTCAGAAACACAGTGCAGTCATAAAATAAATTCGTACCTTTAGAATCTAAAATAGGCACGTGCAATTTAACCTATCACTATTAACTATTTTAAGATACGATGGCTCAACTGTATTTCTCTCTATCACTGGGGAAGAGGGTTTTTTATTTAGATTTTTGAAGACTATTTCATGATTGCTTCTTATTTTGTCGGATAGCTCTGTAGAATATTAATAGGACTTCACAGCACCATCAGATTTGATTAAAAAAAGAAAAAGAAAAAAAAAAAATAACAACCCATGGGTTGTGTCTTGTGTCTGTGGTAAGCACACTGCTTCTTTTTATGTGGAACGCTGGAAGAATGCTGCATTAACAGGAACAGAGCCGTCCTAGAGCCATAGAGCTCAGCCCCCTGAAAGATTTTGTTAAAAAAGCAGCGTCCTAAATGCGCACTGTGTCGTTAGTTCACTTGAAAGCAAGATCTTTGATCTGCAGTTTTCTGAGAAACGCAGCCTGGTGGATTTGCGCTCTCAAAACGTGGTGTTTTGTCGTCGTTGGAAGAAACCCATTTCCAAAAGATACAAAATTAATTTTGGCTGGAATTATCTGAGCTTGTTTGTTGTTTTTTGTAGAAATCAGCGATGGCAGAGCAAAACATGCTTGTTTTAAATGTGATTTTGTTCCAGATTGCATGCTGCCGATGCCCGTGGCAGGGCTGCTTGGGCTGGGCCCAGCCACGCTGCAGGGAGAGCAGGCTGGCAGCGTGCTTTGCATCTGAACACTGTATGTTTTCTCATTGTTGTCCAGCACTATTTCTACATCATCCTACAAACAAGATCCTTTTTCATTCCTGACACAGAGCTTTGCAGCCCTTCATGGGGCACGCGGCTGAGCTGAGAGGCACTGTGAGGTTCTGCAGGCCTTGGTCAGCTCGGTGAGGAGGAGGAGGAGCAGGGTCTCAGGGCGTAAAGGCACAAGATGAGCTGCATGCCAGTGTCCTGCTGCTGCTGTGCAGGGAGCGTGTGGCCCCAGCAGAACTTAAGGGAACTCGCAGAGGCTCAGCTTCCAGCCTTCCCTCAGCTTAAGTCACACTGAAGGTATTGGAGCTGCAGAAGGGAGATTGGCAAGGAAGCCAAACAGTGTTTGTTTTAAAATCATTTTTCATGTGGATCAACGGACCTGTCTCACAACTGCAGTACAAAACTACAGCCCAGGAACTGAGATGAAGTCAAGAAATCTAATTTTATTTTTTGTTAACATTGTTGGTTTCTCAATTTTCAAGCATGTTTTAATGCCACCCTCAGTCTGCTCACTGCCCTCATGTGCAGCCACTTGCCCATGATAAAGACCCTCCTAGTCCCTTCTGGCTCCTGTCCAGCTGCCTCTGCTTGCTTGGACTGTTCTTCAGCTCCACTTGCAGGTCCCATGGCATGCCCTTGTCCCTGTCCCCACAGATTGATCTGCTGGAGCAGCCACTCTTACAGCTGCTGTCCTGTCCCATTTGCTCTGACCTAAAAGGCGTGAAAGTCAGAAAGCATTGCTCAGAGGCTGCCATGGTAAGCTGCAGGCTCCTTGCTCAGGCAGGTTCTCTTAAAAGAGCTGGATGGAACATTAGGCTTGCAGGTCATTGTCATTCATCTTTTGAGGTGACCTAAATCAATGGAATGATCTACCTGCGTAGGACTAACACCCACACAGTTCCTTCCTCCTGCAGCTCCTTTTGATGCTCTCATTCCAGAGTAGATTACAAATACTTCTCCTAAGATCGTGCTCGTTGCTTTATTCATCCCACATTAACCAGAATCGTTATGTATACTTGTAGATCACCTGTTCAGTTTGTTGGTTGACTTGGGGAAGGGAGGGAATTTAGAAATTAAGCAGCATCCTTCCAGGTGTATTTAAACCAGAAGGCGGCTCCTGGGAATATAGGGATGTAAAAGAGGATTGTGGGAATATGTCGTAGGAGTTCCTAAATGTCAGCTCAGCTGTTCTTAGCCTCTGTTGTGTCCTCACCCTGCAGTGATTAGCTCAGGACTCTTAACTAGTTCCTGAGCTGGGGCCTCAGCACCTATCTATCTGCATGCACTCAAAGGGTGCGTTAGCGTGAGTGCCAGGATTTGTCTGTGGCAGTCAGGGTATTTGGGCCATGCTGAATCAGAGTGGGACTGAAGCCAAGTCCTGCCCCTTGTTGATTCTTGATCATAAGTCAGTGAATTTAGAGAAAGAAAGGGAAAGAAGCAGACGCAGTTTTGCATGTCTCCTAAGTTAAGGGGAAAAAAATTGTTTCATATACTTCCCTTTACAGTGGAAAAGTCTTCCCTACTCATTCCAAGCAATTCCTTATTCCTTACTCTTTTTTTTTTTGTTTGTTTTTAGGCACATGTGATTGAAGAAACAATGAACTCTTTTTTCTTTTTTTTTTTTCTTTTTCCTTCCCTTGACAAAGGATTTGTGACTCACCCAAATAAATGGGATATTAAAAACTGACCCCTGGGTTTGCAGGCAGAGTGATTTTATTGTCCTTTCTGTTCCTATTGTTTCAACAGGTTCCCACAGCAAGTGTGACAATAGAAGGAGCTTCTGCCCTCAACCGTGTCCGCTGGGCTCAGGCTGGGAAGGAGGTAGCAGTTGGTGATTCAGAAGGCCGCATATGGATCTATGATGTTGGAGAGGTACTAATTTTATTGTTTATAATGCACAGCTTCTGCAGTGTACCACATCCAAGTCTGAGAAAAGATCTTGCATTGTTAGGGGCGTAGGCTGTCTCCAAAGAATTTGCCACCAGACTTTCAGTGGAATCCTGTTAGTTCTGCACTGCCAACAGTGTGTTAGTTGTAAAACAGCCTCGCTACCTTCACTAGTATCAACTAGTGAAGCCATCAAGAGTGAAGTCTTTTTTTTTTTTTTTTTTTTAAATCTTCAGTATTTTTAATGTATATATCTTTTAAATGTACAATTAGAAAAAGAAATGAAGAGGAAAATACAGGTGCAGAAGGAATCTCTGTTGTTCTGAAGTTAGCTCTGTAGGGTTTACCTTTTATTTTCCAGCGTGTCTTATCTCGTGATTGACGTATTGTTGGAGGCTTTTCTCAGTGTGACATGCACAGATTTAGTCTGTTGTTTTAGTACTGAGTAATGTTGTATATGTCTGAATATGTGCAAAGGTACTAATAGGGAAAATGAGAGGTGTCGTTGTGGAGGCCGATAGCTGCATGTGTGTTGATGAGTGTAGGTGCTGAGAAATAGTAAGAAGTGCATTCTGTGTCTAAGGCTGCTCTCAGTTCACCCTACTACATATTATAAAAGCCATCTAAACTGCAGAATGTTTGGCACTGATGGAATCTACCTGTGTTTTGATGAATAAGGTATAAAGTGTTCTGTCAGCATTACAATTCCTTGGAACAGTTAAGGGTGAATCTCTGAGCAATCGGCTTTTATGTAGAGAATTTGTTTTCCGTCATTATCTGTGATAGGATACTGAGATAGCCATCTCTACACAGTAGGGAAACATTATGGAATACATACAGAATTATTTGTAACTCTCATAAAGTGATTTTATGGCCCATAGCAAAATTGCTTGTGCATGACTCATATTTTTGGATTGCATTCGCTTGTGAGGGAGTTGCCTTTCCTCACAAATGTTTGCTGAAACTTATTGCTGTATTAGCATAATTTTTAAATTGTCTATGGTTACTGCATTCAGACTTCCACTACAGCACTGGCAGGTCAGGCTGTTTTTATTTATTTTTCACTGTGCGTGACTGTTCTGAAAAGGTATTTTTTTCTCTTTCAAGAGCTGCAACAGGCTATGGAAATGTCTCTGATGACAGCGCAATCTGATCTTGTCTGAGAGTCTAGACGGGCTGCAGAAATATCTTTTTTTGCATATCATACACCAAAGCATTTGTAGAGTTGTTTATCCCCTCAAGCTCACCCAGGAGAAAATGGATTTACTGTTATTTACTGTGCAGAAGAAGTAACATTTAAGTTTTTGGCCTTTTCCTCTGTATAATCAGAATTCAGCTTGCAAAATGAGTCACAGTGACCAAGCTCAGATCAAAAAGAAAGACAGCTTTCTGTTACCTGAAAAGGAAAAAGAAAATAGCATGAGTCTAGATCAGTGTTAGAGTAATGTGTTCTGCTTTATGGATCTTGCATGCTCTGCCAATGTGGAGTCTCCATCTCAGCTCCATATATATTCATAAATGGATGGATGTCCATCCACGTCACAGGTCCTGGGCCAGTGTCAGTCCTCCTTTTTTGAAATGAAGTATTCATTAATTTGTTGCGTGTTTTGCTTTGGCAGTATCAGTGTGCAGTAATTCCTGCTTCAGATGCTACCAGGGCTGTTGTGTTGTTAGTGACTTTTTCTGGTTTTAAAAAGAAGGGTGCTCAGCTATTCTCCCACATAACTCTTGTTGCTATAAAGCCTTAAGTAAGGTGCAGAAATATTTTGCAGTTTGAAAGTGTGAAACTGAGGGCTCTTACACTGAATAGAAGCCTCTTCACTTATTTAACTCTCTGTGTGAGTTCATGAAGAGCTCTGATGAGTTATTTTATGGTTAGCTGTCATCAGCCGTAAGCAAGTGAATTCATAACGTCTTGTACTTTTGGCAATGTCTGACAGAAATATGACAGCCATATAAGCTCCTGTTTTACTTCATTGTGCAGGCACCGGCCAGTTTCTTCACTCAGGTGTCATCCTCCTTTGGCTTCCCTTTTGTACAAGTTTGATTCAGATACGAATGTGCTGGTCCAATAGTTACGAAGAGGCAGCCCTACTCCTCCTGTCAGCCAGTCATCTTTAGCATATCCTGTGCTGGTAGTAGTAATATTTGTGAGCCCACATAGTTATGAGGTAGCTACATCAGCAGAGAAGAGTGGATTTGTGGTGTTCTGTTGAGGTGTTTTGTTCTGTGTACTGACTAATATGAGAGCACATAAAGCATCAGTGATAGTGCAAGGGAAGTGATGCAAGCATGTGGCTGGGAGCTGGACTGTCCAGTGCCTGGCAGTGCCGAGATCTTATATTTGGCTTGGTATTATATTATATTTGCCTCAGCTGGGGCAGCTGACCTTTCAGCTCTAGTGTTTGACCTATGTCCTCCAGCACTGACTTTTGAAAAGACCTCATCTGTGAAAAAACTCATCCCTGCCTGGCTGATAATTCAGTGGCATCCAGTTATTTGAAGGTGTGTGTTGCATTGCCTCCAACAGGTGTGTTCCGATTTAGGAAGGTGAGTGTGGTTACTTGCATTAGAAAGTCAGCAGGTCACTTTACAAAAGACCCCAAATACTCTCACCAAAACCATTAATGCTCCATTTCTACGGCACATTTTTAAAACTCTTCTCATGGCTGATCCAAATACCACATCAGATGAACTGTCAGTTCATAAAACTTTGGCTCTATCAAAAAGATCTGGATAGATAAGTTACTGTGTTTGATTATAATACAACTTCTTTGAATTTCACATTACTGTATGAGCAGATTTTCTTACCCGCTTGAGCAGAGTTGACTCAAGGTATTTTAATCCAAACAGAAAACATCAGGCTATTGTATCATTAAGGAACAAATTTAAATGATAGGAATTTTTACTTTGATGAAGTCATCACAGTTTTAAAGACCGAGAGAACAGTAAAGATTACCACTATTAACATGGTGCTGAGTAAAACAAAGCTCATATGGCCTAAAGTGAAAATGTAAGACTCAAAGCCTAACTTTGCATCGTTTGTGGAGGCAAGGACTTTGAGATCAGGGCTGTTTTGCTTTGATTGTGTAGGATTTGGCCCCTTTTTAACGAGTTACGTGGTTAGTGTCTTCATGACACAAGAAATGGCAGACATGAAGACCGTGGCAGAGTCCATGATCGGGGAGTTAGAAGTGATGGTGACATTTTCAGTTAGGCTATATATGTTATCTCCTTAGAGTATGTACTTTTAGTTGTTTGATTTCGGCATCGTGTCTGAAAATAACTGAACACATTTATTTTCACAGTGAGGGGTCTATTTTCTCCTCAATGCGTGCGCTTTATGCCCATTAGCATTAATGGGAGTTATACACACACTTCCAGGGGAGAAGAGACTTAAATAGTCCATATAGATGTGCTCTTGTGGATCAGTAACCACTGATTTAAAGACACTGAATTATAAAATAAAAGCCAAAACGAACAACAAAAAAATATAATTCTTTCACTGTGATATTATCTTAAACCTGAAAAACAAGAGAGTGTAACCAGTTACTGTTAATGCACTTTACTCTCTGACAGATCTAAATGTACAAACCTTTGCTGTTCTAGAAGCTGGGATGCTATTATGAGTTAGTATGTAAAATGTATTTTGGCTTATTTGGTCTTTTGGCTTATTTTCTGGGCAGCCAGCAAGTAAAAGTTGATTTTAACAGAACATGGGCCACTGACTGTAGATTTATTCACGTGTCTGGATGATTGATAGTTAGAGCTAACTACTGTCTCTTCTGTACATATATTTTCTAGACAGCTTGCTCCTGTTTTGCATGCTTCAGTGATGTTACACAGTTGCCGCTGTCATAAATATTCTCTAACAACCATGTTTGTTGCTTACCTGGCTTACTGAGAATACCATTTGCACCTTGGATTGTGAAAGAAGTGGCTTCTTATTCACTCTCCATTCTTTCGTGTTTTTCCCATTAATCTCTTACAGGTTGTATTTTGTTTGCCTTGTGAATGAATAGATAAAAACTGTAAATCAGTGATTTATTATTTGATTGTAATAGAATATAAAGTAAGTTTTCAGCACAGTATTGGAGAGTCTAAAACTGTAATCAACAGGAGTTTATTACTGTGCATTATTCTGTTAAATTATTTGCAGGACAAACTTGCCTCTGTTCCGCGGTGTTTCAGACAGTTCGTTTCAGTCATGCTTTTAAAGGATGATGAGTATGGTGAAACTAGAGAAAAATTTTGATTAAAAAAAGGTCTTTCTCGGGAGCATCCAGGAAAGCTGGTTCTGCCAAAGAAAGCAGTTAAGCGGGGCTGTCCCAACAGTTATCACCTCTGATGTTTCTTGCAGTGAAATCGGCGTTCTACTGACCTGACTCTGTCACCTGATTGTCAGGTTTCACAGTTCCTGTCTCCCTAAGCCCCATTAGGGCTGTTTGCACACCTCCCTGTTTGCTCTATAACAGATGTTAGTTCCGTATCTCATTTTCAAAAGACATGACCAGGGAAGGAGGAGCTGGCAACTGCCTAAAAGGCTGATGCAGTGGTGCCGTAAGGAATATCCTGTTGGTTCTTGTAAAATAATTTCTTTGATTTTAGCTGCCTTCAGCAGCTGTTCTGGGATTCTGACGGTTCAAGACAGAAAGAAATGCATATTCATGACCAACTGACATATTTCAGAATGGCTATTTAGTCAGTTATTTCTCTGACTAGAGTAAGGAAGGGTTGGCATTTTGTAGTCCTGTCTTCAGATATTTCGCTATAGATTTTGTACAGAAAACATACCCAGTGTCTCTTTCATGCAGTTAAAGTGCTGTAGCCTGGAGAGGAAAATACGAAACTGTGTTTTCTGTCATGTACTTATCCAGGTAGATTTTCCAGTAGGTTTACTTTTGCCATTCTTAAAGCTCTTGTAGAGTGTGTATCGAGTTAGGAAATGTTTTTACCACGAAAGCAAAGCTGAGACTTGACATAAA